TTTGGCTTTGTTTTTGAACATTACTTTTGCTATAAAAACAAATTAAAGTGAATGAATCTCATTCAATTATTTGAATGAAACGCAATTATTATAAAATTTGATCTACTTACGTAATAACTTTTCTGAAATTTTTAAAATTTTTTATTTACTTCTCCAATATTTACATCCATTTTACTTGTTTACTAATTCAAATATTTTTATACATATACGCACATAACACATAAATCAACAGATCTATTAATGTAATTCTCTTTTTAGAATTTTAAAAATATTTTTCCTATATTTCCAAATACTAGATTAATAAATAAGTAAATAATATTATGTTGTTTCTAATAAATTTTGAATTAAGTACAAGGAAAATTTTTCTAATTTTGGAAAACTGGAATTTCAAAAAAAAAAAAAAAGGCAATACTTTTCCTCCCTGATCTCTTTATTGTTAGACGGTCCAAAAAAAATTGTAATTCAACAAATTAATCTTAAGAAATAAAAATAAAATAGAAAACATTTTGTTGTTTCTTTAAGAATATTGCCAAACTTTTGTATATATATACATACTTACTATAATAAACATATTAAAAATAATATTTTAAATTAGAAGAATAACCTAAATGCCCATAAATTTTCTATGTTTTTGGAATTTTATTCGAAAAAAAGATTTTTTTCTTGGTTCATAAAACAACAAGAAAATTTTTTTGTTTTATTTACAAAATTTTTATTGGTTACAAACTTTAAAAATGTAAAAAATAAGAAGAATAAATGTAAACATACTTTACCAATAGATTTTATCACTGTCTAAAAAAATCTTAAATTAATTTTATATTATTAAGTATATTAGATATCGTTTAGTTTAAATATATAAGTATATATATTTACAATATACAAGCAATTACGGTAAAGGGCTATAATTCGGTCTTAATGCAGTTTTTTTTAATAACTTCTTAAAAAATCTAGATTATGTGCAAATAAAAATAAAATATCTTTTTAAATATATTTTTTATATTTTAGTTGATCAGTCGAGAGTCTCTTTGACAATATTGGGTAACGTAACAATTTAAAACTAAGTACTTATCAACAATTTAATTACAGTTAATTTCATTCATACAAGAACTTATACATAAGTGAATTGACTTATTTAAAGTAATCAAAGATTGAAACGATATTAAATTTTTAATTATTGTGGACCATCAATAATTCAATGAAAAATCTTTTTCATTGAAGCATTGATTGCTGCAACTTCATTTAAAATTTATGAACCCTTTTTCAATATTTTTCGCAAAATAAATGCGATTATGTCAAAGCTTAACATAAAAAATAAATTGGGGTATAATTTTTATTATTTTATACATTTTTTGCCAATTTTTCACAAATAATTAAAAATTTAAGACCGTTTAAGATTCATTCACTTGACGGATCCGTATTAAAACGTGTTATTTCTTCCTAATTGAACAATTACATACTATAAGAAATTAAGTATATTTTAAAATATTAGAAAAACAAAAATAAAATCACAATTACTTACTTAAACCACAACAAATTATTACTATAAACATGAAACCTTAAAACAAATTGTTATTACAAACGTGAACCATTACGCACTGCAAATAATTCGTGTTCGTAATTATTCTCCATAAATTTATAAGTATACCTTTTTTATGGACCAAATTAGATGCACTAACAGAACTGAAAAAGGAACACGTAAACTTTTGACGGACCGAGTTAGATACTTCATACTAAATGATCATAAAATTGATCATTTTAACTAAAATTTTGTTTAAAATCAATCCAAGCCAAACTAATAATTAAGAAAAAGTCATTATGTATTAATGTACACCTATAGAAAATAGGTCCAAATTATAGCCGTTTACCTTATATAGAAAACTTATATACATACTTATAAGTATATACAAAATAGAACAAAAAACAAAAACAAAACTTAAGAGAATTTAAATTTTTGGTTCCTCTCAGCATGAAGACGGTAAACATTTTGTTTTATTTTCTTTTTCTTTTCTTTTAAATTTTTTATATTTTCACTATCTTCATATATTGGAATTTGAAAATTTTTTGTGTTACCGCCAAGATTTTTGGCAATTTACCAATTGCGGTATTGAAAATGAACATGTTTATATTTTTTTTATTACTATACCTAAGTATATGGTATACTTAATGTAGAAGATTATTAGCAGTCACATTTTACGTAATAAAATATGTATACAAGATCAATTCAAACCTTATTACGAATTTCTATATACTTAATACTTAAATACGAGTATGGATATTTTAAATATTTACATTTATGTATTTTCATATGTACAACATAAAAAAATGTAAATAAATAAATTTAATCAAAATATTAATGCCCTTAAATGGTTTCCATATTTACTCATTTAAAATTTAATAAAGATAATTTTGTTCTGACCTTATTTCCTAAAATTGGCATGAGGTAATTTTTTAAAATGATGTAAACTATAAGTATATAGAAAATTCTGTTATTTAATGATAGAGATAAGGAAATAATTTGTTATTTAATAAAAAAATTTTATGTTTTTTTTATTTATTTGAATATTTTGTACAATTCAATGCTAGTTTTATTAAGCATAAACGGTATACTCTTAAGTATAGTTAAGATAACGTTACATTATGCGTGGATTGTGTTATTATACTTCATATGTTATAATAAACGAAGTACAATTCCTAATTTATAATTCACTTGGGGAGTTTATTTATTCGCATGTAGATAAAAATTTAATGTTGAAAATAAATAATATTTTGTACTTACATAAATGAAATTGTATAGAAAATTTGTGAAATTTCTTTTAATTTCAATTTAATAAAAAAACTAAAATTTAATGTGAATTACGAATTTGGAGCTTAACGGGTAAGATACTGTGTTAGCATTAGATAAGTACTTTTTCCAATTTAATATTTTTTAAGATAATTTTTGCAATAATAATGAGCCTATTTTATATTTCAGTTAAGTATAATTAAATTATGTTAATAATATTAATATATTATTATTATTATTTTATACGTACTTATGGAAAGCTGAAATTTCCACAAATTTATAAATGGAAGCAGTATATGTACGGAACAAATTGCAACTAGCTTCGTACATACTTAAGTAAGTATATAGAACAAATATCAATGTATGTAGCTGCGAATACAAAATAATACTAATTATTTACAACTGAAAAATTGTAATTATATTTTATTAGCTATAAAACATTGATTTGTTGTAATACATTATTAAATTTTCTTTTTCATTAAAATATTTAAAAATATCACTTTATAAATTTATGTGTTTTGAATACAATCTATATTTCGGATGGTTGCGTTAGTTCTACAAGACCAAAAGTTAAGAGAACTTTATTGATACAATTTTTAATATATTATAGAAAAAATAAATAAACAAATAAGATGACTTTATGGGATTTTTAATTCTATGAATAGTTGATCAGTCATACAGACCTAAAATTCTTATCCTCTTACATAGTACATATTATGTAAGTACATATACCGACAGATAAAAGACTTAAAAACAAATTGTTCTCATTTGAAATTAAATTTCCCTTGAATTTAGTGCCAATCTAATAAATTAATCTTAAGTTTAACATAATATGTTACTGTTTACCCAACAAACTCTGACAACACTCATTTTCAAATTCCTATTTCAAATTTTGGGTTATGATTAAATTTATGTTAATATTTCAGCAAGTAGATACCTTCTTATGTACACAGGTACAAATTGGTTGAATAAATTCTAATGCCGCAGACTAATCGAACTCCTAATTATAATTATAATTCGAATCAAAAATTGATTAAGAAAAAAAAAGGTTCATAATAAAATTAGAAAAAATTATAGAATATCATAAATAAAATATATACTTAAGAAAGGAAAACCAAAATTAAAATAAAAAAGAAACTGAAATCACCTTCAGAAAGCGAATTTTTCTCTTTTCATTTTTTTTTGTTTTTATTTAAAGATTTTTATCTAGAATTCTACAGCATCAAAATATTTTTCTTTGTTTTTATTTTCACGTTCTTGTATATAAAATTTCTATATATAAATGAGTAACAGTATATATGTAAATAATAAACATTGAAATCCCTGCAATATCAGCCTGGTAGGTACTTGCTTAGCTGGTATAAAAATTTGGTATTTTTAATAAATGACCTTGACTTTTAACAACTACATACGTAAACATAAATTGCATTGGAATTGTTACATTGAATATTTTTTTATAGTTAATATAGAAAAGAAAATACATAAAGTAAATACACAAAAATATTATATAACCATAATGAATAAATCTATTACCGCTTATATACTTTACATATTCTATTTATGTAAGAGTCGTGATAAATCAATAACAACACATGATGCTGCAAAAAATTCATTAGATACAAAAATAGAATTTTTACTTTATATTTATGAAATTTCATTCTTGTTTTTATGTAAGAAAATATTTATTCAAATAAGAACATTAAGTTTTATTGAGATTTTCCACATTTCACTTACTACAATTAAATATTAAATTGTGATCAGAGTTAAGAAAATCATTGAGAATACAATAAACGCACATTAATTTTGATATTATGTTGGGAAAAATCTGTTTACATGTGTTATACTTGGGTGTATCACAATTGTAATGTTTTTTTTTTTTTGTTATAAGTACTTAAGTAAATTTAGCCGGAAAAATTTGTACCTATGTACCACTTACATATAATATGTATGTATTTATATGTATAGAGCAATTTTGTTTCAATTAGATAAACGTATCCGCCTACATACAGAATCTTTTAATCAATAAATAAAAAATATTTTGCGGTATGAAATAAATATGTATGTGTGTATACACAAAAAAAAACATTTTCAAGTGCTTACTTTTATCTTTCAGCTCTTTTATAAATAATATTAAAGGAAAAATATAATCAGAACAATAAATATTAATTAAACAATATTGTGCTTATAATTTAAAAAGAAATATGAGAATAAAACTTACAAGAACAGCACTTTCACGAACTACTTGTGAAACAGTTTCACGTAATTGAGCCGCCATACCCGGCTTTATAAGGCCTAAAAATAATGAAAAATACGTTTTAATTTATTTTTTCTATTTTCTTTGCTAAGATAGATAATTGATCAAACAAATAAAAATTAGGTTTATATAAATGTGTGTTTGTAGTACAAAATTTTTGTTACCTCTTGTAAATTTCCTTTCAGTCATTTTCCTGTATTATAAACACTTTTTTTTTAATCCAATAAATTCATTCGGGAAATGCAATTATAATTTTTAAATTTTTTACTTTTTTTCTTTATATAAATACCAAATTTCTTTTATTTTTTATATAAATCATCAATTTTTTGGCATTTTATTTATTTTTCACTTAAAAATACTATTTGTAATAAATTTTTTCCTTTAATTTTTTTTTCATCTTGCATCAAAAATTCTTTGACAACACACAACTAAAGATTCTCCTTTATCAATGAACAGAAGAACATGTAAACCACTTTATTACTTCAAAATAAACCAAAGGAAAAAAAACTTATTTTTAAAAAATTAAATTTTACATTTTTATTGAAACAATTTTCAATTTCTTTTCACAATTTTGACACAATAAAAGAACAAAAAACACAAATTCCATAAAGAATTTTTTTGTTTCTTTTAAAAAATTTTCTTTTTCTTTATTTTTTTGCTGAAATTTTCACTTTTTTTTTATTTGAAGCGCGTTTAAAGTTATTTACTAACAATACAGTTCACAATCTTCTCATTGACTGGTTTTGGAAAAAAAAATTTTATTTCGGTTCGGTTTCTGTCAGGTTTGTTTTTTACTTTTTGTGAATAAAAATAAATTTAAAGTTTGTTTGATTGTTTTGGATGAATCATTTTTGATTTGTATAAAAGCAATATGTGACATTGACAGTCGTCAAAAATGAAATACAATGTAGCCAACATATAAGTTTGGAAATGTTAGTACTAAGAATATGGAAGCGTTTAAAAAAAAATTAAATTTTTTTTTTACTTCAATGGCAGCATTCATAAAATGAAAGTTGTAAAAAAAATTATTTAAAAATTTGACGTTTTTTCAAAATTTTAATAAGTATCAAAATGTTCCACTGTAGTATTATTTTATAAATTTCTTGAAGTTTAATATTTTCTTAAAGTTTAAAGAAGAAATTGTAAAATTTAGTTTAATAATTATTTTTTTTGTATTCAAATAAAATTCACATGTTTTGTAAATATTATTAAACTTAACGCAGTAAAAAGCGATTTAAATTTAATTCCTACATATTTCAATTTCACTTAAAACGCTGTATCGAAAGTAAAACTCTTTGATATATTTCAAATAGACGTATAAAAAACAATGTTTTATAACTATGTATGTATCTTTATTATACTGCAAAATAAAATGCATATTATGTTGACAGCTTAGTAATATAAAAATTTCAGTTGAATAGGATTATTTGAAGAATAGGAGAATTGAGCTTTTACTTGACGTTTTCTGCTAAATATTTCTTTTGTTTTTTAATTTTTAAATTTTAAAAATAATACTTATGTATGTAAAGAGGCTGCTTGTATATATTAATTTTATACAATCAGTTTGAAAAATTTCATCAGTAAAAATGTCAATCAAACTATAACCTAAAAAAAGTAATTGCATTAAAATAACACTAGTTTATGAATGTAGTTTCAGTTTTTCATATTAATTTATAAATTGGATGTTTTAAACTAAAATTACAACTTTTGAAGAAATAACCTTATGCAAAGGTTTGTCTTTCTTTTGTCTTTAAGACTTGTACAAGAAAAATAATTCGAACAAAAATATGTTTTTATATATGCATGTATATATGTACATGTATGGACAAATTTATTTTAGGAAATTTTACCATAAACGAAACAATAATTAACAATATAATTTTTTTTCAGGATTTTTAAAGTAATTCTTTTGTATATCTTTCAACTGTTGTGTTCAACAGGACTAAAAGTTTGTATGTAATCTCCATGCGCTTGATATATGTAATTATGCATATACATATATTTAAATATACCATTATTTTTCTTAAAAACTTTTATGGAATTGAAAACTTTCCAATCACAAATAAAAATTCTTTTGAAAATAGAAACGAAAATTAAAACATTCATAATTCAAAATTTCCTCATATATGTAAATACACTTTCCTCGTAAGTTTAATAATTTATGTTTATGTATGTATAAACAAAATACAAAATATGAACTTAGATACATGATAATTTCTTTCTTACATTCTTATAATAACTTTGCTTATTCGAGATATTCATAAAAAATTTTTTCTAAGAAAAAACAATTTTAGCATCTGGAAAATTTTCTTTTAAAAAGTAATGAAATTCCATAATGAATCAATACTCTTTGCATGGTTTTTAACAAAATAGTTTTTCATATTTATATTTTATATACACGTAAACATCACATAGATTTATGAGTTGTATATTTTGTAAATATTATTAGCAATTATTGTAGATACATACTTTATGTACATACTCATTCGTATATCTACACAGTACGTTATGTCACTTATACATAATACGTGTATCCCCACCATGTTCTTTTAAATCTTTTATTTTATTTTACAGTTGTTAAAAATTTTGTGCATTATTTTGACAATTTTTACTTTTTTATTACATTCCGCAATTAATGCATTTTAAATTTTGTGACAATGATATACTTTGACAAAATGAGTGACAAAACTTGTATTCCGAAAAAAATTTTTAACTTTTTTCCTCAAACTTTACGTCTATATATAATGGTAAAGTTCTTAATTCAATTTGTTTACGAGAAAAAAATGCAAAAACGTGCTAAAACACATTTTTTTCTTATAAAATAATAATAGTTTTACGTCATATAAAATATACTTAGATTTTCTGTCTATTTTACAAGTGACGTGAAAATATTATGAAAATTCTCAAACGCACGTCTATGCAAAAGAAGAAAAGAATAAAAAGAGAATATTGTTTTATTTTATTTTGCATTTTGCTCTTAATGTATTAAATTTGTGCAATAAATTGATTTAGTTCTAATTAAACTTGAGGTATAGAAAAGAAAATTGTAAATATATACATACATATGTACTTGCTTGTACTTGTATGGCACATATTGCATATTTATCGGAATTTTTCTTTGAATTTTGCAAAAATACATGTAAATCCTGACATTGCAATAATATACAGCCTCAGACACTTTGATTAGAACAATTTGTAAATACAAAAGGCCATTTGAAAATATTACTTTTGCAATAGGAAACAATATTCTATATTAATTCTAAAGACAATACAGCAAAATGATTAAGCTACAAATATAAACAGCTCTCTTCAAAAAAACTTCACAGAAACAGAGTCTGAAACGTAGATTTGTTAAAGGTCTAATCTTAAGCTTCTAAACTATTGGTCAAAAATTATATGTGGTTTTTTATGATAATATATGGATTCGAAATTCAGGAGAATAATATTGAATCTCAAAAATTTTGTATTAAACAGAATTTTGCAGTTGTCATACACTTTTTTTTAGTATTGCGCAAGGAATAAATTGAATCCGCATACTTACATCTTTATAGTGCCCTAATCACGAGAATAATCACGATATTCTTATATTTATATATATATTCAAAAATAAATTTGATGTAAATAAAATTTAAATCAGGATGCATCCGTTTTCTTCATGGGAAAATTCACAATTAGAATACGAAAGATAATAGTTGGTCAAACTACTTTTAAGATTCAAAAAATAAATTTGCTTTATATATGCACATGGTTTCGACTGCAATTCCTTCAAGGACAAATTTCTTTTGAAAAACATAATACTTTATAATATATCGAGAATCGATTCTAATAATCGTGAAATGTTGCATTAGGTAAATGCAAATTACAATTCTAAATATGTATATACCATTAATTCCATAGGAAATGAAAGCTTCCGATGCTTCCGCCGGATTTGAATATTACTTGCCTTCTGGGAGTGTATTGAACAATTACTCCAGGTAATGGAATTATATTTTTATATGGAAAATTAATTTTCTAATATTAATTTTTTAATTGATAAACCTAGTTTTTACTTTTGTCTAATAAAATTTCCAAACGAAACTGAATTTCATTTACCAATTCGGACCAATTGTTATATATGCCGCCGAAATGAACGATTGTTATATCTATACAATTGTATATATTATACATAAATATTGTTGAATGCTTATTTTTAATATTCTTTCCAAACTTTAAATATTCAGGTGCCTACATAATTTATATACACCTTATAGTATAAATATTTTTAGTATATTTTAACAATTTAAATACATTTGTACAAATACAATATAAAATATTAATTAAAATAATATATTTTTTTAGGAAAATTTCGATCGTAAAAACGAAAATAAACATGTACATAAGTGAAATACATATACACATATATATGAGGGACCATCCTAACTCCTATAAGATTTTCTATTGTATTTGCAGCTAATATAAGATTATTTATTATAATTTTATAATTTTTGGCAACAAATTGTTTATTTTATAAGAGATGAAATTTAAAAATACACGTTGGGTTTCAATTTTTTTCTTTTTATATTTTTTCCTTTTTACTGCACGAAATTCTAAAAATATAATATGAATGTATGTATGTATACATATGCATATATAATTATAATGTACTTTCATTTCCATATGTCAAGGGGAGCCGAAATACATACGGAACGTGGCGTAAACTATAATATATTATTATTTTTGTTTGAATATTATACAATATTATTTATTTTATATTTGTACATATACATACATATATAAAAAAGAATAGGAGGGAATAGAAATGAAAAATAAAACGACAAAAAAAGAAAAAAAAGTAGACGATTTTTATTTCAAGTACAATCACATTATATACAATATCATTTATATACCTCTTATATTATAAAATTAAAAATAACAACATTGAAACTAAAAATGAAATGTGACCATATCCATCACATATATACATACAAACATAATTAATACACAAAGGCAAAAACAACGGGTTGATTTTTATTATAAAAAATTTAATATCGTTTTTCTTTTTCGAACAGAAATAAATTCCCAGTGTCACAAGTTTTTTGGGTAATTTTATCCATTTATATAATTTTGAATTTGAAAAGAATAGTGTGGATATCTTCTCAATTTAAAATTTTCTACATAATGTAGTTTAAAACTTTAATTTAAATACTAAAAGACAAATTTCTTCAAATTATAAAATAAGTTAATGGTATTAACTCATTTCTATCAAAATTATATAAAACAAAACATTCGTCCACTCCAGCTGAAGAACATTTTTCGATTTCTCACACCAAACTTAAAAACTTTTTATCCTTCAAAGTTGTACAAAATATCCAAATTTTAACCAGTAGTTTTTATGTATGAATAAAAATACTTTTTTCATTAGAAAAATTTTTTTTTTAACTCGCCTTTCTCTTCAGAAATATCAGCCTCTAAAATTTATAAAAAATTTGAAATTTTCGACTATTTTTTTTATCAAACCTTTTTTCATCCAAATGTGACTAAGTTTTTCTCCTTAATGTATGCGATAAAATTTTCTTTGATTTCTGAAGTTTGATTTCCCTCATTAAAACTTTAAAAATATGGGTTTTTTGATCTGTTTTATTCCAAGTTTTTATATTATCAAGTCAAAAAAAGTCAAAAATATGTAGTTTCTATGAAATGAGTCAAATGCGCCACCAACTTGTAACACTAAATTTTGAACCGAGTTTGGCTTTGAGAATCTCTCTGCTTTTTCCTGCACGTTCAAATATTTTTAAACAAGATATAATAGAGTGATTCGTCAAATTTTATGTATAAACTATAATGAAACTCGATACTTTGCAACTCATAAAATTCAAAACGAAAAAGTTTGGAAAATTTAATTCAAATGCGGATTTCTAGGTTCTGGATTTTGTAACATTTTGGATTTTTCTAATTTGGCACTTATTTTTACCTTAAAAGAATAATAATTTTTATTATAGTTAAAAAATCAAAATAGTTTTGTATAATCTCATATAAATTATCATGATTCATAAAATGGGCTTTTACATTCACTTACATATATGACAATATTTAGGCACACATACATTAATACTTCTTATATACATAGTTTACATACTTCGATTAAGTTGATGATACTTTGCTCTCTTGTTCCTATTTAAAATTTTCAATTTTTACATTTTCTATTTTCTTCCCTTTTTTTTTTTTTTGAGAAAATTTCATTTTTCGCTATTCATTTTTTCTTTCTGTACAATTATACTTATGTTACATATATACAAAATACAAATACCATTGATGAGTGCATTGTTTGATATTGAAAAATTATTTTTTTTCATCTTCTGCTTGTGATTTTTCTGGTTGTTTTTCTTTTCTTTTTAATATAAATTGTTTTTTGTTGTTGTTTTGCAATATCCTTTATAAAATTATAATATTATTGTTTGTAATTACTTATAGGTGATATTGTCATTTGTTTATTAGTCAAAACGAAAATAATAAAAAAAAAATAACAAAAATAAAAATAAAAACAAAAAATAAAATTTAGCAAAAAAAAGAAAAAAACGAAAGAAAAAACAAATTTCTTTTTGTTGTTTCATTTTGTGTTTCATATTATAAATTTTCACAAATACAAATAGTAAAAAAATATAAAAACAATTTTTTGTTTATTTTTCTTCTCCTCTTGATTTAAAATTAAAAGAATAACAAGAGGAGACAGTAGAGAAATTAGATTCGTATGGTCAAAAACTATTTTAAATTTCATTCATTACGAATTATTTTTAATGTAAAATACCAAAAAAAAAAGCAAGGAAAACAAAAATTTACATAAAAAAATCAAAATACAAAAACTCAAAAAAGCAAAATTAACAGAGAAATAACCGTGAAAACTTACAAAAAAAAAAACAATAATAAAAAATGCATATAAACCAGCAACTGTCAATTTTTGCTAATTTCCGTTAACAAGCAAAAACAAAAAAAAGAAGAAAACTTTTTTTCAACATAACCAATAATAACAGTATTGACAGCAACATTCCGCGTAGCCTATCGTTAAAAATACGCGTAAAAAATATGATTTTAATTTTTAAGACAAGTTTTACACGAAACTCATAAAATCAAGAAAAAAAACAAACAAAATAAAATCAAACTAAAAAAATAAAGAATTGAAAAAAAATAAAGAATTTCTAAATAGAATAAAGGAAAAGCAAATAAAATAGAAAGAGATAAAAAATAATTTAAATTTAATTAAATAAAAAAAAAATACAATTTAAGTACAAGTACATATAGGTAAAAATAATAAAAAAAAAATAAAGTACTTAACTACTTACATGTGTTTTTAAAAAGTTCTTATTAAGCCAGACACCGCGAAAACAAAAAAATAAATAAAATATAAATAAAAAAGTTAAATAAAAAGAATAAAGAAAACAGAAACAAAAAATATGAAACGTAGAGGCATGGTTTCATGTGTAGAAGGTGAGTTTTATTTTATTTTATATAATTTTTTATACTGCCTTTACAATAATTTCAGTAAATTACCAATACTATACTGATTTCTTACGCTTATAATCGCTGTAATACATAAAGTCTATATATATGTATCTAGGTATATACACAAAATATATATATACGCTTATAATACTCATGTATATATACTATATATAAAATAAAATAATAAAAAAGTTAATTTAAGTAGTTAAATTAATTTGTTCAATGTTATTAAAAATAAAAAAACAAGATTAAAAACAAAATTTTAAAAAATTGTGTATTTTCACACATTCAATTTGCAATGTTTGTATATGCGTTTTATATGTATGCGTATTAAAAATAAAGTAAGGTTAGATTAGATTATTATAATAGAAAGAAAAAACTTGAAAACAAAATACCAAAAATAGTCTAGTTTAGAATAATTTTAATTATTATATAAGATGGAAATAATAAATTTATAACTACACACTCACATCATCAGAAAAAATTTGACATTTCTAATTTGACAAAGGGATTTAAAGCGTGCGTTGAGAAAATCAGATATTTATCAATTATTTTATTGAAAGTGAGTGTGCAGTAAATTGACCATTCGACCATCTTTTTCCATTGATTTTGTGATAACATTGCGTAGCAAAAAGTTTTTCTTAAAAAAAAAAACAATTAATTAGTTTTCATAACAAGTAGATTAATTTCAGCAACAACCAATTTGTTATATAGGTAATGGCATTAAACCCGTTAGAAACAACTATTTTATTTATATATAGTATAGTGTAGTTAGTTCTGTAGCATACATATGTATATGAATAAACTTTTGTTTTCGAACTTAATTATGTATATAAAAATAAGAAATTATAACTATATGTACATATTTATGTATACACAAACATTTGTGTTTGGATATTTTATTGTACCGGCAATTTACGTAACATATAAAAACTTTTTTTATTATTCATGGCCATTAAATTTTAGATTATATATTATAAATTATTAAGATTTACTTTTTGAATAAAATATTAGATTGAATTGCCGCGAAAATTTAACTTATATATTTTTTAATTAACTTGATTTTACATATTTTTTTTTTAAATTTGGTCGTTTGTCTTTATTAATTTATTATGTGCACAATTTATTTATTTATTATATGAATTTTCTTTTACCAAGGTTTTTTTTCTCAAAGCCTTGGTAAAAGAAATTGTTGAATAGTATGCTATATCTACTTTATGTAGATCAATATTGGGCATTAGTTAAAACAACACTCATTACGTTAAAATTGCCTAAACTTAGATGATTTTGACGTAATTTTTTTTTTTTTTTTTTTTTTTATTAATTTTTATATTACAATCTAGTCCTAATAATATGACTAATGAGTAATTTAATTTTAACCTAATTTACTATAAAATTTATTGATAGATTATCTAAAGTGACATCTACCCCCCGTTTTAATATGTTAATAATACATACTCGTTTTTATAAATTATTTTAGTTCATAAGGTTTAGTTCTTTGTAGTCGTCGTGTTATGTTTGTGTTGTCCAATAGTTGTTGTACCTCGACGTTCACATGCCGGACAAGCCTTTCTTCATGTCTTCTTGCTCTACTTTTTATTTCTTCAGCAACAGAGTTTATTTGAAGGTCTCTTTGTAGATCTTTGACTCTAACGTACCATGGAGCATTTACTGCATTTTTTATTATTTTGTTTTGCAACCGTTGTATTATTGCAACATTACTCTTTTTGGTGCATCCCCAAAGCTGGCAACCATATGTCCAAACAGGTTTCAAAACTTGTTTGTACAATAAAAGTTTGTTTTGTACGGACAGAGGTGAGTATTTTCCAATCAACCAGTACATTTTTTTATATTTGATTATATTTGATTTTGACGTAATGTGCAAATTTTGTGCGAGAGAATATCAGGAAGGACCAACTGAATAATACTTTTCTTGTTTTTAATTAGGACTAAAAAATTTTCAAATTGCAATAAAATGTGAATAAAATTACTTTGAAAATTTTTCGTTTGATGGTCATAGAAATTCTATCAATCACACTTAAGTTTGAATGTGTATGAAAAAGCAAAAAAATTTTTATTTGAGAAAAATTGTATGGAAATTCAACAAAACACATGTTTTGAACACTTTTAGTTAATTTTATAGAAGTTAAGAGAAAAATAGCATATCGTATGTCAAAATACGGTAAAGTTAAGTTGAAAACTTTTTCAAAACAGCTCGGGCAAAAAAATGGACTATACAAATACTCAAAACCCTATTTAAAAGTTTCATTAATTTGGTTTAAAAAAACTTTCATAAATTGTTTCGAGAGAAATTATTCTGGAGAAGAAAACTATATCAAAAATTTGGAAAAATTTTGAAACGGGTTTTAGATAACATTTTATGCCTACCGCGGTAGAAGAAGCATTTCGCCACCTGTGGCATTTGAAGAATTTAATATATAGTTGTGGATTCGTTACAATAAATATTTACGGCAAAATAAAGTTGGGTCAAACCAATGGTTTGTATTGTAGCACTTTTCCCTTAAACAAGTGAAAATACTGCTTTTAAAAACAGTCTATGTATATCCACCACACTATTAAAATTATTTTCATTTATAAACGAAACTATTTCTAGGATTGCATATATTTAGGATGAACCATTTATGCAGTCTTTGAAATAAAGCAAAATTTAATATAAACAGGGGTTAACATAATGCTCGATTTTAAGGGTTAATTGTGTGAGTTAAGAAAAATAATTATATTTTTTAATTTCATGGAATTTACTGTAAACTTTTTGCGTTTATAGAAATTTGAAAAAACTTGCGGTTTCAGAAATATAAGGTGTCAAAAATGCATATTTCACAAATTTCAAGAGGCCATAACTTGAGAGGGGGTGGAGATGGAAAAAAATTTTCTTCTAACGAAATGAACTACTTGTTAATGTCTAAAAGCTCCTAAAATTTCAAGCTTCTACAGGCTGGGGTCTAGAAGAAAAACGACATGAAAAATTTGGAAAAAAAGGACTTTAGATAACGGTAAATTTAAACGGCCATTTTGTTTTTCTAAAGTTTAACTATAGTATACCGCGGTAGGGGAAGCAAGTCACTGCCCTTCTGCGTTTGCAAAATTTCAAAAATGCTTATGGTTTCATTGCAACAAATAGTTAAAATAGGCCATTTTTAGTGCTTTGGGGGGGTATAACTTCTAGAGGGGGGGAGATAGGTAAAAATTTTGTTCTACGAAAATAAGTTTCTAGTAAAGATCTATGTACGTATTAAATTTCAGCTTTCTATCTTTAAGAATGTAGAAGTTTTGTAAACAGACACACGGACAGACGGACGGACGGACGGACGGACGGACGGACAGAGTGAAACTAATAAGCACTTTTTTTCAAAAAATTTTTGGAAAAGTGCTAAAAATGGCCTTTTTAGGATTTTTTTAGGATTCTTTTAAAGAAATAATTTTATACTAAAGATTTATATCTGTGTAAAATTTCAGCTTTCAATTTTAAAGATGTTAAAAGGTTTGTAAAGCGGCACACAGTCAAACATAAATAATAAATTAACACAGTCTGTTTCAATTTTTTTTTATAAATGTATTGAAAATAGATAACATATTAGAAATATAAACTCACGCCAATAAGTATGTGATTTTATTTTGAATAAATAATGAATCTTTCAAAATTTGAAACAATAATGTATGTACTCGTAATAAACAAAAATGTAAATGCCATAATATTGTTAAATAAGTTACATATAATGTAACAAAATGATGATAAATAGAAGAATAAAGCGATTAAATAATAAGCTTATACTAGAAATTTTATAATTTGTTATATTTGATATGCAAACATACATTATGATATTATATACTTATTGGGTATGGTTAGTGTGTCACTTTTTTTATTGCCGAAACAATAATGATGAACTTAATATTTTTGAATGAATATTTTTATTTTAATAAATGAAAGTTTAATATGTTATAAAATAAAAATATTATACATAATATTTAATTTCATATTAAATTATGAAACAAATAAAAAATATTTCAAATAAATTTGTTGACTCGTAACACAAAAAATATATTGAGTTTTCCGATGAGTAAAATTTGCATTGAAGAAAATCTACATGAAATCATGTTATATGGGTATATTATAAAAGTATATAAAATTATACAAAATATCTCATTAAATCGTGAAAAATTATTTATTTTTATATACATACATATTTATTTATTTATTTTATTCTATTTCTACTTATACATAATATTTTTTTATATTTTTCTCATGCAAATCATTTTATGTTTTTTTTTTAATATAATTTCCAATTACGCATCATGTGATTTTTCAAAAAATAAATAAAGTCACGGAAATATCAAAAAAGAATTTTTTAAATTTATTCTTAAAGTGAAGATTGTGTTTTTTTAATTATCAATATTTCGGACTGTTGTTCAACGTTAAAAAAAACTTTAATATTTTAATGTAATTAAGCATCTACCTACATTAATATGGTTGTTTACAAACTTGTAAATTGTAAGACTGCATGTGCGGCATGATTTATTGAAGAAAACTTATATTTTCTTATTTTTATATATTTTATAATTATAAAAATAAGGAAAAAAGAATAAACAGCCAAAAAATTATTAATCGCGTGACCTTTAGAATTATTTTATTTATAACTTGAATTTAATTTTAAAAATTTTATTTTTTTCTCTTATAATTATTTTATTTTCTGATTTCATATTTAAATGCAGTTGCGCCAATTAATAAAATTTTTGTATTATTTGTAAATTTTTTCTTTAATTTATTTTTTAACAAAGTGTTTCAGAATTTTTTTTTGTTTTCGTTTAAATATTTAAAAATAGGGGTTTAATATTAAAATTATAATATTTTTTTTTAATTTCAATTGAAAATGTTCTAGTACAGTGGCGGACATCATAATCGCTATTCCCGGTATGTTGCGAAAAAACCTTAGGGTTTGAATACTGCAATAAAATCTTTTTGTTTT